CAAATCAGTGGTCAGGCTATTTTATTTCCCCCCTTAAAAATACAGCTGATGTATCTTTCTGAAAAACCAAAAAAGAAAAGAACTTTACCCACTTCTTTCAATAATTTGCAAGGATGGGAATAGGAAACAGGTATCTTGTAAATCACGGTGTGTTTCCTAACACTGTACTTCTCTTGAGGTCACTGTGGTGTAATAAGTAAAGAACACACTGGTATTCTATCTGGCTGTGGAGAACTGCAGGTAAATGCTGATGCTTCTAATTACAGGAGCATTCAGAGATGGGACATTTTCACTAGGCCTACCTTAAAAAGACTGACCACATGGAATATTCTATTATAATGCTGTCTTTAATGTAATATACATTACAATATTAAAAAGAAATAAAAATGCATTGGTTTTTTTTTTTTTTTTTTTGTTTTTTGCAGCATGTGAGGCTGGGTTTTAAAGCAGCATCTTTTAATCTGTAGTAATGGTGATTCTGCATGTGGAGTGAGTGAAAACAGTTCTCTGAAGTGCTCAGACTGCTGCAGTGAGCTGCAGTCCAGACCTCAATATTTGCTAGTGGTGAGCTACTCTAACAGTTGGCAGCTGGTGCTGTTCAGGGAATCAGGAATGTGCTGTGGTCAGCTGTGGCTCTCTCCTGGTGACACCTCTCTGCCTCTAAAACCAGAGCTGGTGGCCAGGGTGAGAATTCACCTGCATCGTGAATTATTTATGCTCCAGTACATGAGACTTTGAAATACTTTGAAGTTTGCTGTCCATGATGCATCTTGGCAAATGAACTGTAATGCATTGGCACCAGCACGCTGTGCTGCTGGAGGGGGTGAGGTCTGGGAGTTCTCTTGTCAAAAAGTGAAATCCTAGTCCTCAGGCACGTGAGCAAAGTTGAATTTTAGAGCAGTTTGTTTCATAGTGTTCTTTGCTTCTTCCAGATGTATAAATGCAGCAATATCTTGCAAATTAATTGAAGAAATTTCTTGTGCTAAAATAATTTTTGTAATCCCACGATGAGTTTTGAACTTTTGTGTTCCTGGGGAAACTGTTCTCTGCTGCCTTCATGTCCCATGAGTGATGACTGCTAGTGAGTGCTAGGGAGCAAGAAAATCTCCTTAGCAGGCTGGAGTCAAGACACTGCTCTGTTCTAAACTCTGCTATAAGCTGCCCTGGGCAAAAGCAAATTGGTGTGTCTGTCCCACTGCCAGAAGGATCTCTAGAATATTGAATATTGAGACATTGTTTAGATCTGCCCTGCTCAGGCCTGTTAACTTGTGAATCCCTGGTCTTTATTACAGTAGTGCTTGGGCAGCAGTGGGGCAAGAACACGGAGTGAGGCAGACAGGAAGCAGAAAGTGTAAAATACAGCAAATCCCCAAATGCCTGCAATTAATAATTTTAACAAATGCATCACTGTTTCTTCATGTTGGCTGCCTGCTGTTTCCACTCCTCTTTCTCTGCATGCTCAATATTTTTCTCCCATCTGTCCCTTGGCCGTAATGATGGGACAGATGCACTGCCTAAGTCTTCCTCTTGGAGCTTGTATTAAAACAACCTCATTGCTCCATTCCTCCCCAGCAGTATTTATGTGCTCATGTTTCTTTATCATCTCCCCTTCCCCCATTTTCTCTGTGCTGTGTATAGATGTATAGATATATATGTAATGTGCTCTCTTTCATGGTCTATGTGGAAATATTATATACACGAGGTATGAAATATTGATTGCTACATATACCTATATATATTTTTATATAAAAATATGTGTGTATGTATATATATGGACATATATATGTGTGTCTACATATAAAAATATGTTTTGGATGCCATGTACCTTTCACTGTAAAAGATTCTCTGTATGGTCTTTTTATGATGTGAAACAACACAGTCTTCATTGTAACTTCAAACTGTAAGAAAGGCTTTTAAACTAAAAGCTTCAGCATTTTCTTCATGATGCTGTGTTAGGATCAGCTGTGCTTTGAACTGTTAAAAACTGTCACTTCTGTTGCATGTTTTGCTCAGGAGATAATTTGGGTATGTTAAAATCATAGCTAGAGAGAAAAAGGAGCAAGAACAGCATCTGCTGAGCATGGAGGGTCTGAGGACACAGATCCCAGTCCATCGCTGCAGGTCACTGCCTTCCTCTCCTGACTGCAGTGTGAAAAGTTCATGGTACAGGCTGCTGCTGGAGGAGGGGAGGAAGCAAATGTTATTGTTAATGGTTTACTGTTTGCTTTTAGCAGCACCAGCCTTGGGAGTTTTTACTAAAATTCCCTCTAGGATGGATGATTTAGCAATTAATACAATAATAATAATTTTCTCCCCACCACCACCTCCAGTTAGGAAATACCAGTGCATTCCATGTCTGTGGAACTCACTTCTTGTCACTTCTGCAAATGCTTTGTGTTGTAGCCTTTGGATTTTCATATCCTTGGGAACAAACTATTTTTTCCCTACAATACAGTTTTGTCTTTAGTGCTTAGGTTAGCCTGAGACTAAGAATTGTCTGTGCTGCTGACACATGCCCAGTACCAGGAGCAGACTGAGCACTCTTGGGTTCATCCACTTTGCTTGATACTGAAAAAAACCCACTTGCTGCTCAGATTCAGAGCTCTCACACGACATGATAATGGATTTAATACAAGTGAAAACTGAAGCAGGGTAGTCAGGAGCTAATTGTTCTCCAAGTAATTGTTATTGGACAGAGCAGGAAGTGGTGCCCTTAGAACTGCAGCAAGATCCACATCAGGCTTTTAGCAACATTCTCCAAAGGCAAAGACAGGTTGTGTGCAGACACCAGACATTTGTGGAATTCCTAAGCAGATCAGACAAATCTGTTTGTCAGGGACCTGAGTATTGATCCACATCTGGAATGTTGCTCTTCCCAGTGCAACAAACCAAAACGTCCTGTGTGGAAAAGCTCAGCTGGAGCTCAGTGATGCTGAAGTGAGCTGGCATGAGACCAGCCCTGCCTGTGCCTGCTGCATCCAGATGTGTCACAGGAGGGACTGGGTTTATCCTCAGGCACATCTTCATCCCCAGTACAGCTCCAGGGCTGCATCTGCCAACTTGCTCACATGCAAGTGATGTGATGGCAGGAGAGTCTCTGCTTAATTGATGCTCTTTTTATGCATTTTAGTGTTATTCTGGCTGATGTAACTCTGTTCTCCAAAGTTTAAAGTTTGGTTGCAATCTTTTCAATATAGTATTTTTTTCAATATGTGTTGCCACAGAGCTGGCAAGGTTTGAAATTCTCTAGTATTTATTTTCACAATCTTTTCCTTCCCAAGAGTTCTGCTAATTTTGGATCATGCTGTTTAGTCCAGTGGATGTAACTGAAGCAGAAAGGTTTGCCCAACAGCAATAAAGGCTGTAAAGTGACCATAATCCCAGTCATGGTGTGCTTGTAAAATAATGAGCAACCAAGAGTTTAACTCTTAAAACTTATTTTGCCTTTTTTTTTTTTTTTTTTTTTTTTTTTTTTTTTTTTTTTTTTTTTTTTTTTTTTTTTTTTTTTTTTTTTTTTTTTTTTATCAACAGTAACAAAAAGTGAGGAAGATGCTTT